GGCTGCAGCCCTCAGCATTGACCGAGCCTCCCTGCCCTGGGCAGACACCGCTGCCTGAGGCCTCCAGGGCTGCTCAGCCCTCACCAGCTCAGCTTCCCTGCACGTGAGTCCAGTCCAGTTGGCTGCCCGTGGTTTGTGCAGGTCGGGCTCACAGCCATCTGTGGCACGTGATGTCTCCCAACCTAGGGGTCCGATCTGTGACATGGGTCTAGGTACAGCCACCGTGTAGCATGGAAATGATCTGAACAAGAAAACAGGATGGGGCTGCAGGAGGTGGGCATAGAGACGAAGGCCTACGGAACAAAAGCACAGTCCTGCAACTCGGTGCTGCCCGGACACACGCCTGCAGGGCCGGCGAGTGGGAACCAGGTGGTGTGGTCTCGGCTGCCTGCTCCAGCTGAGCCCCCACGGGGAATCCAGAAGGACTGTGGGCTCCCAAGCAGTGCTGAACACTTACTGAGCAGCAGCGGGCCTGCCCGCAAGGCTAGTTGAGTAGGGATGGGCAGACTTTGGCCAGACAACATGGCCGCAACTATTTTCACCTTTGGAAAGCGTTAGGGCAGGTCTAACTTGGTCCCGCCCCAGCCAGACTTACAAGAGCCTGGCCAAGCACCTGGGGCAGCGTGTGTGAGCCTGTGGATGGGACACTGGTGTGATGCTCTTGGCCACCTCACACTCCTGGGCAACAAGCCGCCGGGATTGCTGAGCCCACATGGCGTCCCCAGAGCCCCAGCTGTTCCCACAGCAGAATCGGGGTGATTGGGCGTGGCCATTATTCATAAAGCAGCAGTTGGGCAGTGTCTTCAGTGGGCAGGCTGAATGGCAGGCTGCGGGGGTGAAGCCGGGGTCCCCTCCTGCAGGGCTCCCAGAGCAGCAAACCTGGAATGACCCCCAGCCCAGCACCCAAAGCCTCCATCAGAGGAGCCCCTCTACCCCGGTATCACCGGTATCACCGCCAGGGCCTCCAAGGCCAACTGCAAATGGGCTGACAAGGTCAGGCCCCTCCCCTGTCCTGTGGGCTGGCCCCACTCCCTAGGAAATCTGCCCTGGCCATTGGGGGCAGACACGCAGAAATGCCTAGGGCCCCGATCCTTTGGGGGAGTCACCACTGTCCTTTAGCAAGGGGAGCAGACTCAGCTCCAGCCAGGTGGGCTGTGCCGGAGAGTTGATGGAGGTCGACATGTCAGGGAGCCGTGGCACCAGCACCAAGACAGGCCTCCCGCCGAGCTCCTGGGCGATTGGAAGTCCCTGTCCCACTCCTGGCTGTCACCATGCCCAGGCACAGGCAGCCGAACCCTCTCCGCTGGGTTCTTGCGGGGCCGGGAGAATCCACACCCCTCTGCGGGGCTAGGCTGC